AATGGTCGTCAAAACAAAAACAATAAAGTTTATAGTCAACCAGACTACCATAAAGCTATTTTTGTTGACATATACACCCTTATACTTTCAATTCACTCGTCTCAAACCCAAGTATCATCAATGCAAATACAAGAAACAGAGATCATACACCACCCCAATGCACACGCATATGTATACACATAAACATACGTATAATATATGCATACCAACATATAAATATATATACACATACAAATACATACATATGTACATATACACACATACACATGTATATTAGGGTATATCATACTCATGCATGTTCTAGTTTTGATTCCTATGTATTTAAAAAGCCTAAGTTGAATGGTATTATTTTTTTTGGTGAAAAAACAGCTTTTGCTACCGATAAAACGTTTTTCTTTTCTGAAAATATTGTGTTTTTAACCTAAATGTTGTCTATTTATGTTACAAATGTACATAATGACTATCTATAATATTGATTAATCCTATGCTTTATTGAAAAATGTTTTTTGTTTTTTAAAATATTATTTTTTGTATTAGTGTTAGTTAATATTCAAACATACCTTATAAATATGATGATAGCTATTATTGATTTATTTTCAAATTAAATGCTAATATTCCTGCCATTTTATTTTTCAGATTCATAATATATTCAAAATAGAAAAACGGCATTATTAGATAGTAAGAAAATCAGAAAATCCATTAACACTAAGCTGAGCGAATATCTTGGCAGCCCTAGAAAGTTGAATGAATTTCTGACATTAGGTGATTGTTCACCTTATGTCAGAAATTCAAACTGAATTTCTGACATTACGTGATTGTTTGCACCAATGTCTTGATCTGTAACAAGAAAAAATTCTAGTTCATGAAAAAAAATCCACGTAATTTGTCAATCCAAGAAATTTTTTCTAATGTTGCTCATGAAATTGCAGAATGATGGTTTATTTATAACACAGAGTTTAAAGAGCCTATAGTTTGTGGTACTAAAGCTATAGAACTAAGACTCAGTAGAGGTTGGTCTGCATTCTCTTAGATAGCTCAACACAAAACCCAAAATGCTAATAAAGAATAATGGGAATCTAAACTTGATAAACTTTTAAACATTGCTTTTTGCAAATGCAAAATTGTTTACTGCAGTGAGAATGATGCCCCTTACAAAGAATCTTTTGAAAATCATACTCATTGTCTTTGCAAATGTGACTTAATTTTGAGAATTTCACAAAAAGAGCTTAAAACTTGTTTGGATTAAAACACAGCAAGAAAAACAAGGTAGTGTTTTGTCTATGCAAGAGTTTCGCCTAGATGTTAAAGGAACTGAAAAGCTTAGCTTCAAAACTTTCATAAGTCAATCAATCAAGCAAGGCTCAATCGACAACAAGAAGAGTCAGAGTTATCGAGAATATTTTATTCATCTACTATTAGATTTGACGCTAAAAATATGGATGTTGCAACAGAAATGAATAATAATTCTAATGTTGATATGGTCAGTGTTAGCGATAAAGTCAGTGATAGCAAAGAAGACTCAACATTAGAAAAACAAGAAAATTACCTTAAACGAAATTACCTTGATATAAGTAATGCTGCCATTCCCATTGATTTCGTGTGTCATCGACTGCAACTGCTGCTATCATTAATGGTCTTCTGAAAAATATCATGAAGGCAGGAAAACTTGTTAAAGATAAAAATGATCTCATTTGTGATAGCATGAAAGTTTTTCGTGCCAAAAAGCGTGCTATGAAGTATTCTAGAGTAGAAGAAAATTTCGACTGTGAAAGAAATATAATCACTAGAATTTTTGTTGATGGAAGAAAAGATAAAACTTTAATCCTTATGCACGATAAGACCACAGGTACCTTCAGAAAAAAAATTATTCAAGAATACCATATAACTGTGACAGAGGAGCCTAGAGGTTGCTATCTTACTCATTATACACCAGAGCCTAAATCTAAATTATGTAAACCAGCCAAACAATGTGCTATTGAATTATTCAACTGGTTAATGGAAAGAGGTAAAGATCTTAATCTCCAACTAATTGATATTGACACTACAAATGAAATGTCTGGGTGGAAAGGTGGAATGCTTCATTTTGTGGAGGAACTTATCAATCGAAAACTTTTTAGATCATTTTGCTGGCTTCACATAAATGAGCTTCCATTCCGTCATATTGTGGAAAAACTTGATGGGCCAACTTCTTCAGAAAAAAGATGGTGCGGAGCAGTTGGTAAACTGTTTTCTAAAGTTGATAATCTTGAAAGAATTACTAAACATACACCAATTCCTTTTTTGGAGCCTTTAGTTAATATCAGTGAAGATTTTGTTAAGCAAATGAGCACTGACAGTTTAGTTGCATGGAAGTATTTAAATGCAATATTAAAAAGAAACCTTGATTCTGAAGTAGCAGCTCTTAAATGTGGTAGATTGTCTCACAGTCGATGGCTTACTTGTGGCATGAGATGCTTGCTTCTATATATGAGCAAACATGATCTAAAATCTGAGAATGCAGAGGACTTAATACTCCTTGCAACTTGAGTGACACAGATTTATCTTCCAATATTTTTTGAAATTAAAGTAAATCAGGACATTAAATATGGTTGTGGTCATCTTTTAAAGCTATTTCGACTTTGGCAGAAGCAAGATGATAGGGTTAAAGAAGCCTCTAAATCTTATCTAAAAAGTAAACCCTGGTGAGCTCATCCTGAAAATTTACTTGTTGCACTCCTCTGTTTTGATAACTCAGAACTAAGGCCATTTGTAGTCGACATTATATTGTAAGTCAGGGCCGGAAGTGAACATGGCTCTATGGATGCAAAACCTTATAAAATACCACAAACAGTAATCCTTGATGCTTCGGAAATCAAAGAACTTATTGATTGGAAAAAGGAAATCATTACTGAACCAGTTTTCACAGCAAATTTGTCATTAACCTAACTAAATGCTTTGAGAGTTTTTCCCCTGGAGCTTCCTTAATATTCGCTGCATACCCAAAGTTGTGAGAGGGCAGTCAAACTAGTTACCAAAGCAGCTGTGTCTGTCTGCGGTTGGGATAAAAGAGATGGTTTTGCACAAACTCAATTACAAAATCGAGAAAAAATGCCAGTGATGAAATCAAAAAAAAACTTTGTTTAAGTTTTAAAAAAACTGTATTGTAAATAGTTCAAAACTTTTTCTCTCTAGTTTTCATACAGAATGATTTTATATATATATATATAGTTAGTAACAGTTTTTTATTATTAATTTGATATTATTTGGTTAATATTACTGCATTTGTTACCTGGTTGCTTTATTTTCAAGCTTGCTAAAATTTATGTTTTTTTTTATCAATTTTTCAAAATTGTTTTTGCAATTATGGCAATTCCACTATTTGAATGAGGGTTTGTATGTTTTTTTAGGTGAGGGGGATGGGTGATGGGATGAGGGGGTAAACAATTCCAGTCTCTGCTAAACTTTAGAAAACTTTTGAATGCATAATATGTTTTTAAAAAAAGGCTTTTTTATTTATGTTTACATAAACAATAATTGTAATATATCTTGATAATTATAATAAAATTATCAAATATTGACAGGGAGGCGGCCAGGACCCCTAACTATTTTTATACATGCCTGGCAGAGTAATATTGGGGGGGTCAATGATAATTTAATATATTATATTACTTGTATTTAATTTTTACTTTGTATTGATATTTGTCTAAAACATTTTAAAAATTATATAATTAATAAGATTAATTTTAAATAAAACCATAATTTCAAAACCTGTTTCAATTTTAATAATATTTTTGTAAAATAATGTTTTAGCTAAACATTATTATTTTACAAAAATATTATTAAAATTGAGTTCCCCATACCCAAATACATAGGAATCAAAGCGTGCTAGTCAAAATTTTGAAAATTTAAGTATGATATACCCTAATGTATATATAAGCACACATGCATAAACATATATAACAATGGTTGTCAAAGTAAGTATTAAATGTTCCAGTACAATAGATTACTGGGAAACCAGGGTAAAAAACCCCTATCCCTGAACCACGTCCAGATAACCCAACCATACTTAAAATTACCTATGATGGATTTAACATCCATACATAGGATTTATATTATCTTCTGGTTCTAAAAGCTAGCTCAGACATATTCTAGAAACAAACATATTCCCCAGTGGAAACAGCAATTATTTATTATTAGAAACCAGCGTAAAAAACTTAACTCTGAACCATATCCAGCCAACCCAGCCATACCTCAAATTACCAATGATGGATTTAACATCCACACATAGTATTTATATTATCTTCTAGTTCTAAAAGTTGCCACAGAAATATTCCAGATACAAACATATTTTTCCAAAACAATAATTATGTATGCAGTCATAGTTCTGTTGTATAAGTTCACACAAAAATTAAAAAAAATAATAATAAAAATAAATAGAAAAAATAAAGGATGAGATCAAACAAAGATATTTAATTAAAACAGCTCAAAAAAAGTTTTGCCACATGATTTTTGAGACTATGCATACAAATATTTTAATGTTGTGCATATGTTTTGATGTTGTGCATAGGTTTGTACCATTAAAAAAGTCTTTGTTGGTATATAATAAGATAGTCAGATGTTCAGAATAAACACATATTTATTTTGAGAAGAAAAAGCTTATACACAAATCATAGTTCTATTTCATCAGTTAATATTTTTTTTAAGAGCAGCATTCATAGTTCCACACTTATAAGGTTTAAACAGATTTTACTAACCTTCAGCTAACCAACCTTCACCCAACTAACCTTCACTTCACTTAACTAATCTTCACCTAACTAACCTTCACATCTCCTTAGTTCAAAACATAAATAGAAATATACTATATAAATAATATATTTCTATATAAATAATATTAAATAAATATATAAATAGAAATATACTATATAAAAATAACAAATAAATATATTTCAAAATGCTTTATTAAAATTAATTTACATTTAAAAAATTGTTTTTTTAAATAAAATAATAGAATAAATGCTTACCTTAATAGGTATGACCTCTGAAAAGTCTTCTTCATTATTTAAAATGCATATTGTCACAAATCTAGATACATCAAAAAGTTCACACATTTATTTTAAAAATTGATACATATTCTAATATAACATTAATGGATAAAATAAACAATTAACTGATAAAAGTATAATTGATAATTGATGTGCCAAACACTTGAATATTTTTCAATGTTAAAATGAATTTCTACTTACAGGAAATTTTAAGGAAAAAAGAACAGAAAAGAAAACTGTTTAAAAATGTAACAAAAAATTGCGTATCTTAAATTTTTGTGAGCAATTTTTGTTTTGTAAAAATTTTCCTGTAAATGGAAAACAGTCTTTAATGACTCACATTTAGTAACAATATTGATTCAAATGTCTCAACGCTGCTGACAGTCCAACAAATGATTTTAATTCAAAATTTACAAAAATTTATTACATCTGAAACAATCATTATAAAACAATGCCTGTAACTTCACAGAATTGAAATTTAATTTATTTATCCAAAAAGAACATTATTTTGCTTTAGCTAGCAAAAATGTAATTAATGTTGACAAAAAAACGATGGAAAAAAATTATTTAATATCTATTTAATGATGACTTGTGCTATAATTGGGATCAATTTTGGGAAGCCAATAAAGTCTTTATTGCAAAATAAAACAAAATAAAAAAAAACTAAAAGCTGAAAAAAATATCCGGAATTCCGGGAATATCCAGAAAAAGATAATCTCTGTTATTTAAAATTAGTTTTGATAATTTTTGAACCGATAATTTTTTGTTTTTTTATTTGAGTAATATTAATATTATTTTATTTGAGTAATTTTAAAATTTTTTGAAACTTCAGAGCTAATTGTGCAACCCTAAACAATGTTGTATTTTCATAAAAAATGGTAAACTATTTTATAACTTAAGGTTATGTTAACAATACTTTTAACTTATTTGACATTATAAAAAAAATATATATTTTGTATAAATTTTGGGCACACCTAATGTTTCCCTAGAAAATACAAACTGCTTAGAAATTGCTGCCTACTAACCATCTGTCAGCTTAACTTACTGCCAAACTCTGTTTAACTTGGCGCATGATGATCAAGATGGATGATGAGTATTAAAAGTCATAATGAAAAAGCTCATTTCCATTCAAGTGGTTATGTTAACAAACAAAATTTGCTTGTTGTCAAATTTTGCCACCTTGTATTAGAGATGGAATATTAGACTTTACTTTGTTAAAGATTTTCCAAAAATCTCTAGAACCTTATCCTATAAGATTGAGTATTCTGAGAATGAAAGACTTGATGATGCTCCAGATGATGACTTTTAGCAGCTGATTTTTGCATTTCTTGCATTGATAAAATGTTTGTTTTCAAGATTTGTGTTCTTATTAAAAGATGAAAGAAATGATTACATTTCAAAAATAGCAGCTGCAGAAAAATGAGAAAATCAAGTAAAGCTTGAATCCAGAAGATTACATAAGAGTCACAATTTTTAATATGTGAAATGATAAGTGAGTCTGATAAAATACAAGTTTTAGTGAGATCATAGCACCCAAAAGAAAAAAAAAGAAATAGAATACAAGCTATGTTTAGAGAAAAAAAAACCAAGTAAGGTAAATGATTAGAGTTGTCTGGAAAACAAATCATAAAGTAAACTATTTGAGTAAAAGATTAAGAAAGAAAAAACCTTTGAGCTTTAGTACTGATTCAGCACGATAAGTGGTACTAAAGCTAAACCATTCAATGTGATAACCATTAAAGAAAGACAACAATATTGGCCTATCAAGGAAGAGAAAGAGCTTAGTTAATTTAACTTAGTTAATCAGAAATGAAATTGAAAAAAGTGCAACCTTGAGAAGTAAAACAATAAGAAATATGAGTAAAAAAGTGCTAAACAAAAGCACTTAAAAGAATAGTTAGCAGACTATTAAACTAAACAAAAGAAGCTAAACAAAAGCACTTAAAAGAATAGTTAGCAGACCTAAATGAATAGTTAGAGGACCAATCATTGTATCGCATAAACAATTAAGAATAGTCAGCAGAAAAATAGTTAGGAAATTTATAAATAAATTAACAAATAAATAAATCAAGTAATATGCAGGTATATCACAAGTGAAACAAACTGCATTAAAAAAACTACATCTTTTTAAAAAAAAACTAAATTTTTTTAAAAAGATATTATCTCTTAAACAGCTAAGCAGGGCTTTGAATCAGTTCCAGAGTTGGAGCGGGAGCTATCCAGAGCTGTTAATTTTACATAGAGCTGAGCCAGAGCTGGAGCTAAAATATTTCCTGACGGAGCTGGCTCTAGAGCCAGCTCCAATCCAGCTCCACCCTTTTGATAATGAAATATCAAATTTCCATAAAGTTATTATTTTATATGAGATTTTTTAAAAGAATTTAAACAACTACGTTCATTAAAATAATTATAATTTCTAAATAATGCATTTTTTTATAAGATTTATAAAAAAAAAAAAAAAAAAAATTTTTTAGAATTTAATTTTTATCCAATTATTTTGTGTAATGTCATGTGATTCTTATTGTAGAGTATGATAAGTTACTTTAAAACAATACTTCTAAACAATGTCAATGATTGGTTATGGGATCGTCCATAAAGTAAGTAAGCTTTTTTTTTTTCTCCCCCTCCCTCCCTATCTTGCATTTTGCTTTACAATTTTTTGAAATTAAAAGGGTAAGGGTTTTTTTACCTAAAAGTACCTACCCTTTTAACCTACCTACTCAACATTTTATGATATTCTTTATATTTAGTATCTCATTACTTTTAAATTGACCCCTCTCCCCCATTCGAGTGTATTTTATGTATGATCTTTTATGTATGTATTTTATGGACGATCCTTAACGAAAAAATACTTTGTCTATGTGTTAAGTCACATGATTTGTTTTAACATTTTTTTATTAGTTAAAACATTTTTAAAATAGATATAAACATGTGAGTTCCAAATAAAATTAGAAAAAGATTTAAAAGTTCTTTTTTTGATATTATTGATATTATTTTTGTTTATACTATCTTTTTTATTATTTCTCTTATCTTTAAAATCTGTCATTTACCTTATTATCATCTGTCATTTACTTTATTATCAGTTTTTTATAAAAATAGCTTCAAACTCTAACAATCCTGAGAGGTTTCTAGATAAGTATTTTTCTTTCTTTAATTGATAAAACTACAAAACTGGTTACATGTAAGGTTACAGAAATGTTAAATGATAAAATGATTTCATGTGCCATGCAAATAAAAAAATCAAAAGTTTACAATATGAAACGACATTTGGAAAAATCACACCTATCAGAATATAAAATTGTTGAATCTGAAATGAGTCTTATGGCCCAGAGAAAATCTTCAAAATTATTTTATCATATTCACAAGATTTCGATACTAAAAAAACTAAACAGATTACTTTAGATTCTTTTGTTATTGCTAGTATTTGAACAATAAATCAAGTTAGTGCTAAAACTTTTAAAATTGGAATTATTAAAATGGTTAATAACAGAATTTTATTGAAAACATTTGCGGATGAAGGATTTCAGTTGGTTACAGGCTTAAGTAAAACTCTTGAATTCAGTACCGGACACAATTCTGTACCCAATTTGATTAATGAATTTGCTGATTAAAAAAAAAAAAGCTGAAATAAAGGAAATATTGTTACATAAATTTATTTATGTTAAAATAGATGCAGCCACTCGACACCAAAATAACTATTTGGAATTAAATATTCAATATTATTATGCGAAAAAAATTTAAAAATTTTGGCACTGATAGATACACAAGGACAGCACAACCCTATTGATATCAAAAAAATGGTGGAAGATAATCCACATAGATTTGGCATCAGCAATGATCAGATAGTATGTACAAGTGTAGACAATGCAGCATAAAATGATTAGAGCACAATTTTTAACAAATATTCAGGTGATTAAAATTTTTGAGATAATGCTTTGCATGATTAAGAAAAAGTGGAATTTTTACAACAGGATACAAACGAAATATAAAGTGAAGGAGCTCAAGAAGAAAATCTAGCCTTCATCAACTCAGAATAGTGTCAACAATTGTCTACTGACATTAAGATGATGCGCCGTATTATTCACACATTGCAGCTAGCTATTTGTATGATTTAAAAAAAACATACATTGCCCAATATTTGCACAAGTCTATTATGTTGTAAAGAAGCTAAGAAACTTATATACAATATTTTTGGTAAGGAAGCAATACAAGGTTGTTTCAATTTTTGATAATGAGACACAATGGGGTTCTGCATTCCAGATAATTGAATGATTATTATTTTTGCGTCAGGTGTGAGCAATTTTCTGCAGTTGATCAGATATTCTTTCAACCCCCTGAAATATGGGATAAATCTAGTCATCTTTGAAATTTTTTAAAAAAGCCATAAGATGTGTACAAGTGAGCAGAGTTGTCACTTGTATACTTATCTCACAAGCAAGTGTAGGCTATTTTTTGCTCTAAAGTTTGTTGAATAACCTTCCTTAAAATTAATAATAAAAACCTCCATATTTTTTGTACACTTAGCACTGCTTTTTTACCCATTTTTCTTCAATTAAAACATAAAATATATATTTGGATAAAGGAAAAAATACTTTTTTCCTAGTTAAAAACTAATCCTCGTTCATAATAATTATTCTATGAATGTTACAATATTAAATAAAAAAAAAGTTTTGATTACATTTCTGTATAAAAAAAAACTATAAATAACAACAGTGAAAAAAAAGTTAATTTACTTTTACAGCAAAATATATCAAGTTGTTACATAACCAATTATTACAGCAAAATATATCCACAGTATTCATTATTGTAATGATAATAAACCTACATTATGTATATACAAATAGGTGTGTAGTCTCTCTGTAAACAAAATGTCAAAGTAAATACTTTGAATTGATGTGATGCTAGTTTTGAGTGGAAGGAGCTTCAATTTTGCAAAGAAAATTATGTAGAATAAAGCAAGTGAACCCAAACTTTTGACCGGTAGTGTATATAAATTAATATATGTTAATTTTTTAATATATATATATATATATATATATATATATATATATATATATATATATATATTTATATCTGTGTGTGAGTGCGTTTGTGCATGTGTGTGTGTACAGGGTGTCCCAAAAATATAACTTTTTCACAGAACCAAAAGGTTCGAAACACATCTTTTGAATAAAATAAAAAAATGCAAAATTTTTAGATCTTTAAACCTTCAAGAAGTGTTAGGTGTACATTTCCTTTTTTCTTTAAAATATCTAATATTTAAATAATAAAACATTCCAAAGAAAATAGTGTTTATTTTGGTTCAAAATATTTTTTGTTTCATTAATATGGAAAAAAATTACATTTAATCTAAAATACTTTTTACTAAAGAGTTATAATTTTAAAATCTTTTTTTTTTCATTCGTTTATCCACACTTTTTCTATTCTCTTTAGCAACCACCATGATGTTTTGTCTCTGATTTTTATTATGACTGTCTGCTGGGAAACCTTGCACTAGACAAATATTTCTTTCAGAGCAGTCATTTGTGCACTGAATATTTGAAAAAAAATCTATAAAAAGCTAGGATAAAGATCTACAAATTTTCCATCAGAAATTAAAAACAATATATTTTGTATATTAGGACCGAGTATGAAACAAATATACCAGCTGTTTTCCCAACAAACTTGTGCAAGTGAGTGTTCTTGTTAATGATCATCTCTAATCTCTGGTATCTTTATTTCAAAATAAAAAAATATCCTTGGGTTAAGAATAATTAATAAGTTTCCGTATCATTAGGAATTTCTCTTCATTAGTTATACCTGGATCTGCTAGTGATGCAATAACAACATCTTCAGCCAAGTACCATGTATGCCTAAGAAGTGAATTTTTCAGGTATTTGCCTAGTATTTTGTCTTCTTCCCCTATGCTTTCTGCTACTTTAATAGCTTTGAGATCATTAGATGGTGCCTGGATTATGATAGCCAACTTCAGAAACCAAGGAATGTAAAATATTGCTACAAAAGGTACAATTTTGTTAAATCTTTTATCTCCTCCACTGACATAAATTTCAGTTTCTTATGAGTTAGTTGAAATGTCAATAAATATACCCCATTTGCCATAAATCTAGCTTTGTGATAAACAGAGGGTTGATGAAGGTAAAAATTTTGGCACTGTTATCCAAATAGTAAGAAACTAGTCCATATAATCTTTTATAGTCTGTTCTTATTTAAGAAAAGGTTTTTAGGGTAATGGCATTTAAGTATTCTTTAGCTTCTTGTACAATCTAATGCATGTAAGAATTGTTTTTAAAAATGTTGAAATTAAATCTCTCTTATGAGTTAATATCTTTATTGCACATGAAAATTTTTGGGCCAAATTTTTTTAATATTTGAAAACAGTTGTTTTTTTAGTGTCTTAGTCTTTCCTGTTAGTACTTGCACTAAATGACTGGTGAGTCTCTCATATATATGTTGACTACATAAAAGCCACATAACTCTAATTTCTTCCCCTTTGTTTTTGATGGTATGAAATCTTTTTATGTGGGTTCCTGATTTTGACAAAACGATATCTTCCAAATTATGCTCTGCATGGTTAAGAATTGAGAAAAGAAAAGAATGACCCCTTCCACCAAGATGAAACCTTGTAGCAACTTCACTTATAACTTTTATTAATCTGTCCCTTGATATTGAGAGGTGCAGCTCATCAGATATTTTTTCTTGCTAACGGCATAAAGAAATTTTTATCTTCTTCACTAGATACATTGAAAAATGAATCATTAGATGAATTTGATTTTTTGATTCTGTATCAGAATAACAATATAATTTTCAAATAAACTTTTATCCTCTAAGAATATTTCAAGTTTTTAAACTCATTCCTACATTATACATTTTTCAGTTGACTTTTGGTCACTTAAGAATTCAATGTCATCTTTAATGGAATCAGATGATCTGTTGCAATCAGCTTTGATTTTCATTAGAATATTTTTGCAGCCTATGTCAAAAAGTTCATTTAAAGTTTTTTTATAGTTGGTTTCGAGAATCAAAAGATTTTCTTTTGAAGAGAAGCTCATTCTAATATGAAAAAATAATTTACACATTTATAACTATAAAAGAGGTTGACAGTTATAATTAAAAAAATATTGTAAAATATATTAAGAAATTCTTACTTTCTGAGATTTTTTTGCTTTCTCTATTTTTTGTTGAGCTTTATAATTTTATCTCTAATGGTCCAACACTCGTCAAGAAGTCTTTTTGAAAACCTGCTCTGCATCAGATATTTACTACTACTTTGACAAGACAATCTTTAACACCTGTCTCACATTTTGCACCAGGGAGTTGATATTTTAGCTGATACCCTCCTTTCTCCGTGGAGCAACTCATATTTGATTTTGTTGACTTATACCTTAATTGCTTTGAGTAAATAACATAACAATATCTTCTTAAAATGGCACCATTTGTAGGCAACTGGTATTTGGGAAGCTCTAAAATGGGTCTGTTCAAAAGATACAATGGTCTCCTTGGGTTTTCTACCACATTGTTAATGTTTTTTTCCATATCTTCAAATTTTCTTTTTTTACAACTTGCTTTTTGCATTGTTTATTGTTTATTTCCATATTACTATTTATTTATATATCTAAAAAACATAAACTTTATTGTTATATTGATCTAATTAATGTATTAAATATAACCTCTGTAAAAGTATTAAAAAAAATAATACTTGCTTATTTATAAATTCAAAATAAATAAAAGAGAAAAACATGCAAATGTATCATTTATGTGGAAAACCATATAAAAAATTCAAAACGCTTATTTTTCAGTTTTTACACCTAAAACTTCTAAGGCTCCTTAAACCCTTAAATTTGGTAAAATTGCTCATTTTTATGCATATAAACAGGATATATTTAGAGCCCCCCAATTTTTTTTTGGGACACCCTAATGTGTAATATTAAACATGTATATAAGGGGTTTTCCATAAAGTATTCAGGTATGGGGGGAGGAGAGTTACCCCAAAACACATGGATGCACACAAGGGGGAGGGGGTGTCAAAGACAGAGAGTATGTATTCAGTTTGACTATCTCTCTTACTCACCTAAAACTTGATTTCTTTTTTTTTTTTTTTTTAAAAAAAAAACTGAATTTTACAATTTAAATATAATAATTGGTTATGTAACATAGATATGTCAAATTAACTAAGAAGTTTTTTGTCTCCGATGTTTTGGAAACTTTCTGCATTGGGGAGTAAGTTAAATTTGTAATAAATAAGGGATATTTACACAGAGGAAGGAGGGTTGGGGGATCCTTGAAATGATGCAGTTGCATACAAGAGCAAGGCAGCCCTAAATTAGAGGTTTTACTGCCTAAATACTTTATGGATACACCCAAAGCTGCAACTATGCTAATTATTTTCAAAATACCTGTTTTCATACAGCAAGATACAATGAAACTCTGATATTGAAATAGATACAGGTAGTTCATTTTTATTATATGTTGTCCTTTATGTGTAGTTAAGAAAACTGATTGTTAAAAAATAAAAACACAATTAAATTGAACTTTGCAATCATTGTGACAAAAGAGTAAATTACAAGGAAAAAAAAAACAGTGGATATTGTTAATAAAGCAGCCACATAATAACTAAACTTATATTAATATATATATATATATATATATATATATATATATATATATATATATATATATATATATATATATATATATATATATACATACATACATATATATTTATATATATATATATATATATATATATATATATATATATATATATATATATATATATATATATATATATATATATATACATAATTTGAAAGGGTTATTTAAATGTTTTTTGATGTTTTTATATAGTCCTGTTGTGAAGCGTTGAAAACGGTTTCTGTTTTTATGTACTTTTAAGTTTGACTTAAAGACAGAATTAAACATTATGTATTTATAAAAACATATTGTTTTTAAAAATGCACTCAAACTATGTATAGAAAAGGAATATATTTATGAAATGAATGCATTATGACTGTCACGAAAAAAAGTCGAGAAGTTTTTTCTAGGCTTTGTATCAGACTTTATAAAGCTAAAAATAAAAGAAAAGTAAAAATGCTGATATAAGTTTTATAATTGTTTCAATTTTTTTATAAAAAGAGCTTCAGATAGTAGTATTAAGATGTAACAAAGTAAGTTATGACGAATATGTGTTTTTTTCCATAATAGCTTCTTGACTTTTGAATAAAAAGTTTAAAGGCGAAAGATTTTATTATTGAAGCCAAGTTAAAAATCAATTATGTTTCATTTTTAAGTTTGTTTACTTATTATAATGCTAAGCCTATTTTAAAATATCTTTTTTAAAATATAAATCACAAAATATAAATATATTTTTAAAAATATATTTCAAATAATTGATGTTGAAGAAATTAATATTTGTTAAGAAATAAAAGCTTTTAAAATGAAGAAAACTTTTTTTAGTTTAAACCTTTTTTTGTAGTTTAAATTGCAACATTTTTACTCATTTGATTTTGCGGTATTTTTTTAAAATCATAACAGAACATAAATCTTAAAAAGAAGCTGTTATATTTATTAACTTTTATTTTAAATGCCTAAATCAGATGCTAAAAGATCAAAAGCTTATAGAGATAGAAACAAAAAAGCCTTGTTGGAAAAAGAAAGAGAAGTTATCAAAGAAGACAGTTATTAACACCAAACACAAAAAACAAGAAAAAAAATCAAGCGAAAGTTTGCAACCAAAGGTTAATAATGATAAAAAAAAACTTATATTATGGAGCGATAGTTTCCAGTTCAAAAATCGCTACATCGTAAAATTTAGACAACATTGCTCTGTGAAATATCATTTTCAATCAAAAGAGTGGAATATTTTTGCTACCTCTCATTTTTAAACGACTGGGGCTGGTATTTGACTGTGGGCAAGGCCAGTTCTACGGGCAGTATTGCATAAACATTGGTGCATATTGACTTGTTTTTATATATCATATCAATATGCACCAATACTTATACAGCTCCAGCCATAAACTGGTCAGGTCAAATACCAGCTCCGGTCGTTTACTACCTCTCATGGTAAAGGAGCAGTTGATGGAGTAGGAGGATTGTTAAAGCGATTTGTTTGGAACAGCTAAAAAATATCGCCAAGTTATTGTCTTAAACGCTAAAGACTTCCTTTTAGCATCAAATGGGTGTAAAACTTATGTAGCTTAATTTAAAAAAAAAAAACTAAAGGCTAATCAACACAGATGACATTAATCTAAAGTGAGTCATTATAGCTGATCAAATTGAAGAAGTAAAAGCCGTTAAAAATATTACCAAAATGCATTTCTGGCAAGTAAAAAATGGAAAGTTTTTGATTTCAAAATTGTCAAATATACTTTAATGGGCTTGTAAAACAATTTTAAAAGTGATATTTTTACTTTTCTGAAAAAATTATTTTATTAACTTATGGTTGAGAACAGGGAGCATTAACCATTTAAACTTTAGTAAAATAATAAAGTATAAATGAATATAGCAGCCTACCTTTAGTTGCTTACTTCAAATTTAATGAAGACAGTATCATAAAACTATAATTGAGAACTTTGATAATGTTATAAATTTTATACTTTTATATAGTTTACATGGTTTTTATAATTATTCATCTTTTTTTTTTATAGCACATTTATCAGCAGAAACATAAAAGATTTCTATCCAAGAGCCATCACTAAGAAAAACAGAGAAAAAATCTGACTAGGATCAGAAACAAGACATAAGCACAACAAAATTGAATTTCTTATTACTTATCTTTCTTAATCTTTCTTAAAACAAGAAATACCTTTCTTTTATATATTTGTTATTATAAGTAACATATTTCATACCAGGCAACTTATTTTTTAAAACAAGAAATATTTCTTGTTTTGAGAAGTATATTTCATCAACTACGGTCAATAGATTTATGATTTTGCTGTAAATTCTGATGAGTAGTTAACAACTAAACAATGGAGTCTCATCTGTAGGCATTTTTTCAAACTATGAACTAGAATATCAAAAATTAACCATGAGTCTGGTGAAATATACAATTCAAGACCTAGTAACTGGTCTTTATTACCAAAAAACGCTGTCAGAAAGATTTTAACTATAATCCTACCAGTTCCCACATCTTTTTGGAACTTTGTTGGGTTAGATAAAAAACTTTTACCATTTCAATGTATTGATCTCTGTCAGAAAATGGTAACATCAGCATCACAGTTAAATCTAAACACCTTGTATGGGTTAACTGCGATTTTAATATCACCTCATATTAAGTATAATGGCACATCTGTCAATGGTCTCATTGACCTTAAAATTGTAAATTAAAAAATAATGCAATATAGATAAAATAAGGTTTAAAATGAAACTGCTAAGAAACTGTTATATTTAATTTTGACAAGATATAATCAAAGTGATATTGTTATTGATTTTATTTCTATTACATTTCTACTGATTTTAAGAAGTCTGTCACTGAAAAAAATTAATTGGTTAAGAGTTATTTTCTTTGTTTTTCTGATTTTTTTTTCAAACCATTGTTTTTAAACAGCTGTTACTTTTATGAAATATATTATTCTTAAATAATGCAGCAGTAGTACAATGATTGCAATAACTTACAATTTTGACCTTTTAAAAGTCAAAATTGTAAATAATTTTAAAATTATTTAAATTACTATTTATTCTTCATCTGGTTGAAGAAGCACTTACAAAATATTAAGTGCTTCTTCAACCAGATACACTTAACAACAGCATGGTTTCATTGTTTGCATCAACATCCCAGCTCTGCTTCAGAGATTTAAATAGTTGATTGTCTGACAGTTTTATTTACAGCTACAGCCATAAGAAGCTCTCCAACATGATGACGGGAATTAACAGGAATAATGGTTGGCCATGAAACTTAGCTCACCTTGCACAAACCCCATTTAAATAGCAGGGCTTGAAGTGGGTGAATTGACTGAGATCAAAAAAATACAGTGTTTGAAAATTAAATTTTTTAATTTCATAACAAATTTGTACGTTTTCAAAATACCACAAGTTAAGAAATATAATAAAAATAAAAATGCACACAATTGGTGCAGATAAGAAACCTTCCATTCCTAGTAATGGCGTAAGTAAATAGTTAATGATTTATAAATTTGTGCATATATTTTGAAAATGCCCTTAAAAACTCATCAAAATATAAAAAAGTTAAATTTCAAAAGAGTGGCACAAGTTTAAATAGTCATCCAAAATAATATATATATATATATATATATATATATATATATATATATATATATATATATATATATATATATATATATATATATATATACATATATATATATATATATATATATATATATATATATATATATATATATATATATATATATATATATATATATATATATATATATATATATATATATATATATATATATATATATATATATATACATATATATCAAACAACATAAAGGTGTTCCATCTATTTAAAGTAAACAACTTGACCAAAAATTAACTAATATAAGACATAATTTAGATTTCTACAGTGTCTATTTCTATCTAATTAAACTTACTACAGTGTCAATCTTCCTAATTATGTAATTAAGGTTACTTTGGTGTCAATCTCCCTAATTAAAAATACATTTAGAAAAGATACAATAGGATTCTACTTTTTTTAGTAACATTACTCTTAACTTCTACTTTATAGAAATCTAATTCTCCAAAGTATACACCTTGAGCTAGAAAAAAAAAAGACATAAGACAATAATTATAGATGATAAAAAATTGTTCTATGGTTATACAAACTTTCAACAAAGCAAGGTACCTGTTAACCAAGCAAAGTACTTTGGCGTTTGTTTTGCTTTTAAACAATATAATGCTAAGTTGCTATAACTGAGTGTCCCTGGTAACTCTAAGAATGGAGCTAACAAAACAAAAGAGTTGTATTTTTTTTTTAAAATAGCTATTTAACATTTAACATTTTAAGTTATCAATTTTTAATAAAAACACTATCAGTGTTTTCTAATTTTATTTGATATGCAGTTATGGCTAAAAAATAAAAAAAGGAATTTATACTATTTTTCAGAGGGTTTAAAATGGAAAGTGTAAATTAATAATAAATTTAATAAACCATTCAAATAGATGAATAAGTACTATTAAATACATAAAAATAATTTTTTATATTAAATAAAACTGTTTTTTTCTCCTTTAAACATTCTCTCCATTAATAAATTGTATGTACAATAAAAACTATATCAAAAACTAAAAAAATATTGAAATATAAGATAAATACTTTTAATTGATAATTACTTTTAATTAATTTGCTATATAATTATTTTTATTCCCTAAAATTTTGTTTTTTATGCATTAATGCTATTGGATAAAATAGTGTGACTTTATTTGTATTATTTGTATTGCTTAACAGAAGACATAACATATTGAATCAGGGTTGGCATTAAAAAACCCGCCCAAAAAAACCCGCCCAATAAAACCCAAAAAAACCCGCCTAAAAAAACCCAATAAAACCCTGGAAAATCTGGGTTTTATTGGGTTTTTTTAAAGATATTTAATAAGTTTATGAACTATTGTAACCAACTTTAACATTATAACTATAATATTATTTACTAAAATAATTATTAACTATTATTATTAACTTAATTATTATTAACTATTATTATTAACTATTATAACCAACAATAACAGCTATCAGAGCAGGTTTACTATTATTTGAATCATTATTTGGAAATACATTATTACAATTTTTATTCAAATATTTTTATCGATTGAGATTTTTATTACTTTATGTTGTTCACCTCCCAAGTTAAATTTAAATGAGTAGTAGTGACCAGAGAAGCCAACACAACAGTCGAGGAGGCTACCTTGTTGTGGTTACAACCCTTCTCAACTCTTTTGCGGTAGTGGTGTTGTGGTAGAGCGCTCACTTCATAAGTGAGAGGTTCTGAGTTCAATCCCCACCACGTCCCTGGCAGTACCGCGCTCAACTCCTTTATCCGCGCAGCGGCCTTGTTTGTCAAGGTTCGTGTTTCGGAGTTATAGAGTTGAGAGAGGGTTATAACCACAAATAAGTAGCCTCCTCGCCTGTAGTTTTGACATATGGTCATAAGCTTTGAGGAGGTGAATTGATTTAAAAAAAAAACAAACTCTTTAACTCCTAAACACGAATCTTTATAAACAAGGCCGCTGCGCAGAGGAACAAGTTTGTTTATTTGAATTTCAAGTTCAAAGTTTAATTGAAACTTCAGTTACTACCTCCCATTCTCAAGCCTTCTTTTTCACATTTTCTCATTGACATTTTTAATTATATAGAATAATACTTTTAAATTTAAAATAAATCAATACATATAGATTAAGCGTGAAATTTTTTTTTTCTATTACAGTTTTAAATTATATTTAAAAATCTTTTTCAAAATAATTTGAAAAATTCTTGTTATAAATAATTAAACAACAATATATTAAATATATTTTAAATAAAGTTAAAGTAGAAAAAAACTAATTTTCAATATCATTAAACAAAAACACAAAAAAATTTTTACAGAGACAAAATAAAAATTAAACCCAAAAAAACCTAAATTTACCCAATAAAACCCAATAAAACCCAAAAAAACCCACTGGGCCGGGTTTTTTTAAAAAAACCCGGGTTTTTGCCAACCCTGATCGCATTACGTTCTTTGTATTATGTTTGTGGTTACATATGTTGTATTAAATTAAGAAAGGGTTGTTAGAATATAAGTAAAGATATAAACCCAACAAGTCTCCTAAACTTTAGTAACCCTCTTGGTCTTGAGCATGTGAACACACACACACATTTATATATATATATATATATAATATATATATATATATATATATATATATATATATCATGCCTTGTGATGAAATTTTATTGCGTTAGAAAATGCGTAGTGCCAATAAATGTCACTTTAACAACGGTAATATTTAAATCATTAGCATACTTTAAAATACCACCTTGTAATTAAATTAAATTTTAAACTGCTTTAAAAATCATTTAAACTGATATACCAAAAATTACTGAATTTAGTATTTGAAAAAGGTTATATATTATATATATATATATATATATATATATATATATATATATATATATATATATATATATATATATATATATATATATATATATATATATATTTTATATATATATATATATATATATATATATATATATATATATATATTTTATATATATATATATATATATATATATATATATATATATATATATATATATATATATATATATATACATATATACAACTTTACTTCCAACAAGGCTGCAAGCAACCATTATTTGAGTTGGAAGTTACTGGAAGAGAAGGGATGAAAGTTATAGAGCAAGATTAACAGACAACTTAAAAGATTGCAAATTATATGAATCAGATAAACAAGATGAAGGAAGCGAATTCCAAAGAACTAATGTTTAAGGAAAAAAACTAGGTGAATAAAACTTCACAGTTTTATTTTTAACAGGAACAGTCACAGTAAAAAAATGAGACTTAATTGAATGACGAGTAACATGGGAATGAATTTTAGTAGATGGCACAACAGGTAGAACAATATTAATGAAAAGTTCTTAGCAAACAATAAGGTGGAATAACAGATTTGCCCTTATAATAGATACTGTTAAAGATTCTCCAGAAGTCATGATAGCCTAATTTTTGAGATGAAATACGAGACTTTGCGACCTGAGAATAGTGGACTTTGGCATTAGACAAAATCTTTTTACAATGGTTTCTAGCAATAGAGAACAGACGTCTGTTTTCTGTAGAATTGTTTTGCTGATAAATATGAAAGTAATGGTTATGGTTGGAAATTGTAGCAGCAAATAAAAAGAAAACCATGGAGAAAAGTGAGGCTTGACTTGAAATTATCAAGAGGAAATAAAAGGTTCCATGTCAGCCTGAATCCAAGAAGTTTAGTAAGAAGCACATTTGTCAGCAGGAAGACGAAAGATTTTTAACCTAGGGCCATGACTAAGAAAATCATGGATAGATTCTCAGTCAGCATGAATTTTCATGAATGTACCATCCATGTGCAACATAGCACCATCCATATTCAACATGGCACTGTTAATACTCTGATATTTTACAGCTGTTAATGAAATCAGCCTTTCTGAGAGCTACCTCAGAGTTCAGGAAACCTGACTACCAACCGACCTCAGAACCATAAAACTGAGTTTTAGAGCTGTACCCTTATTTGGAGATAATAGGATGAGTAGCCTAGTCATAAAAACAGTTATACAAGCAAAACCCATTGAGTCAGGAAGGTCCAGCATTCAACATCCTAAACTCGGAACAACGTATTATAAATACATCTACACCATCTAAACTCGGAACAACGTATTATAGATACATCTACACCAGCTTTATAGGTGAAGAAAGGGTGCGAGGCCAGTCAACAGATAGAATCTGTTTACCTCTTTCCTTATTATAGATTTATTTCTCAAAGCAATCTTGTTCTTTACATAATCTTCTGTTTTTTTATCATCACTTATTTTTATTTTTTTTTTTACTTTTTAATGTAATTTTTTAAATTGATTATAAATTGTTTATAGATAGATTATAGTTACCAGTCAGATATTCATAAACAAAATTTATGTTAAATTACGTCAAAAGAGCTTTACATCATATTGAATTAATAGGAAACTAAAAATTTTAAATATATTTGTGAAAATAATTTTTTTAAACAAAAGTAATTCTTCTTTTATAAGAAAAAAATAAAGTTTTTTATTTGCTTTCACATAATTTAACAATGAAGAGATTTGTTTTATGTAATAAATCAGCAAGAAAAAAAATTTCATCTTTAATAAAATGGCAAAACAGTTTTACATTCCTTTAAAACTTAATTTTTCATTCTACGCTTATCTATTTTACATTCCTTCAAAACTAAACTTAGATTTTTAAAATTGTATTTAATTCAAATAATTAAATTTTTAAATAATTTTAAATAATTTAAGTTGTCAAAAAATAAAAAAGTTTTTGCCTAACATAAAACTGCTGAATGTGTATGCAATTTGCCATTCTGTACATAATATGTGAGTTGCATAGTGCTTCTTAACAAGGCCTGATAAATATAAAATGAGAAGAAAGTCTTCAAACTAGTCTTAAAAACTTTTTTAAAGTATTATTTATTAAGCAAAATTAGGAATCTGTAAGTCCTTACTTTTATGCTTTATACTTTATACACTAACGTCTCTGCATTCCTGATTATGTTTAGTAAATATAAAATAGTAAATGTAAATACTATCTGATGTTTTTCATATAGTTTTTATACATGCTGATATTTATTATTTCCTTTTAGTTGAACGGCAAGAGTTCCAGAGGCGTGTATTCCAAAATTGGATTAATAGCAGGCTGAAAAATGTAATATACGTTTTATATTATATCAATCGTTTCTATTTCTTTTATTTTTCTATTTCTTTTATTTTTGTTGTTCTTATTATAGTAAGAGTTATTTTATTATTTTTATTATTAATTTTTTTTTAATTTTAAAAAAATACAGAATGCAATAAAAAAAACAGAAAAATTGCAAATCAAGCATATATCTTTATGTTAATGCATTTATTACTATACCAACAGTGGCATGCTGGCTCCAAAAAGCTCATGCAGGATTTTTCTAAAAAGGCCTATTTTTGTGGGACTTTACCATATATGCTTAATTTGAAGACCCATAAATACAACAATGCCTTGTTTTTATAATGGCATGTAACTTAGAATAAACAAAGTAAAATTACTTTGCATTATAAAAAGAGTTGGTTTTTATCAGCATTGATATTATTGCTTTAAAAAGTAATAGTGATAGATTTCAAACAAAGGTCGAATGTTTAGGAGAGCGTAGAAAAAGTAATCGATAATTTTTGAGATAGTAGAAAAATTAATGGTTAATTTTTATCATCTGATGGTTAATTGTTAAAACAATATTTTTTGTTAAAAAATTTTTTAATAATGTTAATTAACTGAATAGATAATCCAAGAATTATAAATATTTTTATAATATTGATATTATAATTAATATATACTAAGTTTTATTTGAAATAAAATTTTGCTTGATAACTTGTAAAACTAGAAATTTTTAAATTTTTGCTCTGAAAAAGGTGGCTTTACTATTTTAAATAAAATAAGTTGATATCTTGATAATTAAAATTGTGTTGCATTCATAGAAAACATTTAAACATGATATTCTTTAATTTCTTTTTTTGTTTAAATTAATTTTCATGCTTTTAAATCACCTTTTTAAATTTAAATGATAACTTGGAATTTCGATTAATTGATTTGATATGTTTATCTGTAGCTATTCTTGTTATATCTTTATCTATTCAATTCAATATTTCTATATCTTTATCTATTTAATTCAATATTGTTTTATCTTTATCGATTTGAATAGCATGATTTTTTTAGATAATTAATAAAAGATACCAATTTTTTTTTTCCAAGATAGATTAAACAGTAAAACGTTTTAGATAAGTAAGCTTTTTTAATCATTTTTTTTTGTTTTGAAAAAATTTTGACGATATAAAAAGGTCAAATAACAAACTTGAGATTTTAACTTAAGACATCATTTCAATTCTGTGGTTACATAGCAATTAATTAATAGGGTGGTCAACAAAACAAGCAATAATTAAATTTAAAATTAAATAGCTTTAATGATAAAATCTTTAATTTAAAAACTATTAAATTTTATGAGCAATTATATTAATACTTAAAAATCAGCGACTGTGATTGCTTTTAGTTAAATAACTTCAGGATCACGAATTCCTCTCTGACTGTTGCGGTTGTAATTTAACCCTTGACTTCTTTAATTTACAAAATTAATTTCTAAAAGCGATTTATGTGGTGTAGTAGTTAACATTTTTTGCAATTATTTTTGAGGCCGACGTAAGATAACGTTTGCATTTTATTGTGCAAATTATTTAAAGTTTAACACATTTAATTAGATAATTAAAGAATTTAGTTTTTGAAATCATAAATAAAGTGAATAAGAATTTATTTGTTCAATATAGAGAATATATTAAAATAAAATTTTTAAAGAGTATATAGTTTTATAATTTTTTTTCTCAAAAGACCCTTCTTAGATTAAAAGCTTAAGACCTGTGCAGGATTCCTGTATAGACTCTAGGGCCAGCATGCCACTGAGTGTCAATACCAGTATTACCAGACTTTTTAAATACTAGTATTGGGTAAGCTTAATCCTAGGATTAAAACTCTTTATGTGGTTCACACCCATAAATAGAATGTTTAGAATTTCCAGGAGCGATAAACAACAGTTGTTCAGCTTGTAAAGAGTTTGGGAGGGAGAAAATGAAAAGTTGTTTAATTGATTTTATAAAAAAATTATTGATTAAAATTTTTAGTTAAAACTTGTTTAAATTAAAAGTAAAATTCTGAAACCTTACTCTCCAGCTTGCCTTTTTGCGGTAAGGAGGGTTGCCTTAATACAAAATTGTATCTTTAGTACATTAGTTTGTAATTACTATTTTTTAGCATTTCTCATATTTAAATAACATTTCATAATATTTTTGTTTGGTGGGTTTTAACAAAAAAAGTTACTGTTATAATTTACAACTTAAGTTATAATTTAAAGCTTATGTTGCATTTATAATGTAATGTACAAGTAATGTATTTGATACTAATACAGTATTACTTTGAATCATTGTTTAACTTAACATCATACTTTAAAAAGTAAAAATAAAAACAAATATAATATTTGAACTATTTTAAACAGTTTTAAAAAACTATTTAATGCGTTCATGGTGATAAAACATGTTTTATATTTAAAGCGTATTAAATTATTGTAAAAAGCTATATAAAACAACAATAAAACAATACTGCAAAGTTGATTTGTTAATATAAAAAGCTTTTGTTAATATAAAACATCTTCGCTACATTATTTTATTGTTAGTATAAAACATTTTCGCTACATTGTTTTATTGTTAATATAAAACATCTACACTACATTGTTTTATTGTTAATATAAAGCATCTTCGCTACATTGTTTTATTGTTAATATAAAACATCTTCGCTACGTTGTTTTATTGTTAATATAAAACATCTTTGCTACATTGCTTTATTGTTAATATAAAACATCTTCGCTACATTGTTTTATTGTTAATATAAAACATCTTTGCTACATTGTTTTATTGTTAATATAAAACATCTTTGCTACATTGCTTTATTGTTAATATAAAACATCTACACTACATTGTTTTATTGTTAATATAAAACATCTTCGCTATGTTGTTTTATTGTTAATATAAAATATCTTTGCTACATTCCTTTATTGTTAATATAAAGCATCTTTGCTACATTGTTTTATTGTTAATATAAAACATTTTCACTTCATTGTTTTATTGTTAATATAAAGCATCTTTGCTACATTGTTTTATTGTTAATATAAAACATTTTCACTTCATTGTTTTATTGTTAATATAAAACATCTTCGCTACATTGTTTTATTGTTAATATAAAACATATACACTACATTGTTTTATTGTTAATATAAAACATCTTCGCTATGTTGTTTTATTGTTAATATAAAATATCTTTGCTACATTCCTTTATTGTTAATATAAAACATCTTCGCTACATTGTTTTATTGTTAATATAAAACATTTTCACTTCATTGTTTTATTGTTAATATAAAACATCTTTGCTACATTGTTTTATTGTTAATATAAAACATATACACTACATTGTTTTATTGTTAATATAAAACATCTTCGCTATGTTGTTTTATTGTTAATATAAAACATCTTTGCTACATTGCTTTATTGTTAATATAAAACATCTTCGCTACATTGTTTTATTGTTAATATAAAACATCTTTGCTACATTGTTTTATTGTTAATATAAAACATCTTTGCTACATTGCTTTATTGTTAATATAAAACATCTACACTACATTGTTTTATTGTTAATATAAAACATCTTCGCTATGTTGTTTTATTGTTAATATAAAATATCTTTGCTACATTCCTTTATTGTTAATATAAAGCATCTTTGCTACATTGTTTTATTGTTAATATAAAACATTTTCACTTCATTGTTTTATTGTTAATATAAAACATTTTCACTTCATTGTTTTATTATTAATATAAAACATCTTCGCTACATTGTTTTATTGTTAATATAAGACATATACACTACATTGTTTTATTGTTAATATAAGACATATACACTACATTGTTTTATTGCTATTTTTATACAGTTTATAAAATTAAAACATAAAACGCATTTAAAATAAACTAAATAAAGAAAGTTATTCTAATTAATAAATTAGAATTGATGACTAAAACTTTAAACTTAATACTTTTGCAAAAACATGCTTTATTTATAGACTGAACGAGTATGATGTAAAAACAACAAAATAAACTCAAAAAAATGCTAAACTTATTAGATATCATATCCTTTGTATTTTTTTGCTTATTGATCTAGTGTACCATTAAAATTCAAGTATAAATATATTTGTCATTCAAAGAGTTTTAAAGTTGATGTTTTCATTTGATTTTTTGTTTAAATTGTTTTGCAATAAAATAAAGTGAGAGAAAATAAATTGTTTTAATAAGTCCAAAAAAAAAATAATGCATAAACTGAAAAAAAAAATATGAACAGAACTAGAATAATTTATTTTTTTTTAATTTAAATTTTTTATAATTTAATTTTCATTTCACTTATTTAATGTTTGTAATAGAATGTTTCTACTTTTTAAACTAAAAAAGTTTAAAAAGTAGAAACATTCTATTCTAAAAGAATGATACTTTTACAAAAAATATTCAACTCTTAAAAATGTTTACAATTTAAATAAAACTTACTTTCTTACTTGTACTACCTTCTAAATATTGTCACTGTAGCTAGATCTAATGTTGATTTTCAGGAATGATGAGCTCTATGCTACTGAGTATTGTGAATGTTGCTGTATTTATTGTGAAAATTTAAAAGTTTACTGTATTTTTTAAAATTTCAAAATTTATATTCAAGATTATTTGAATAAGAGAAGTTTTCTAAAATTCTCTTTTTTAAATTGATTTTAAAAATAAATTCCTTAAAACAACTTGCATGTTTATACAAAATGTTTAATCTTGAAATCGCTATAAAGAAACATGAAAAAAAAAATGGTATTAATTTTTCATTTTCTATTCGAAGTTTCTTATTAAAATAATTTTTAGTTGAATGCTTATTATGTGTTAACAACATTCAAGATACAAATAGAGAAATTTCTATAACTTTTGCAAATCTTTGAAAATATTAAGTGTATTTAACAGTTAAGTAAATTAACTGGAGTTACTTAACTGGTTGTTTTGATACGTAAATTTACTGTGATATACTTTATCCATGAAGTAAATCACACTAAATTTAACTTTAAAATTGAAGTAGGATGTTATTGGTTTCCACGCAGAGATTTAAAGTTATTAAAATTCAAAAATATGATTGGTGTGGTATACTTATCTATACCACAACGATCATTTCTATACCTATTATTTGTTTACTTCAATATTTTTATGTAAAATAATTCATTTAAAAAAATTAATTTAAGAGCAAAAAAATTAACATGCACATACCTAGAGCTAATAAGAGATTTATAATTAGGTTTGTTTTTATCCTAAACGCATATCATTTATAGCTCAGTGGTTTAGTGCGCTGTCACCAGTGTTATTTGGGGGATTAAAGATATCCCCTTATAAATTTTGAAAAATTATTAATTTTGCTGTATTTATAGCAATATTTATAGCAAAAATTTTAATAACAGTATTGCAGTTTATTATTATTTTATAATATCAATATTATTTTATAATAGCAATATTATTTTATAATAGTATAGCAGAATTAAGAAGATCTTAGACCATTAAAAATTATAGACTATAAAATGCTAAGGGATTGCCCATAAGTTATGCAGCGCTAAATTTATTTTTAAAAAAGTAGAAAGAGATCTTCAGTTCTTTAGGATGGCGATTTTTATTAAACTTAATGAGGTATTTTGATTTTTTATTTAATATACGACTATTTGAGGAATAAATTTTGATCTAATTTTTTTTTTGATTATTGAAATTTAGCGTTGCGTAATTTACAGATGATCTTATTTAAAAGTTTAGATAAGGGATCAGCCAAAAAGTATATAAAGCCAAAAAATAATTGAGTATAACACTATTTTAATGGTTATCTAAATTCTATTGTTGCGCACTCAGTTTAGAATGTTTAACGGGCCGTGGTAAAATAGCTATAAAACTCTAAATTTCCTTATATATATATATATATATATATATATATATATATATATATATATATATATATATATATATATATATATACAGTGTCCTCAAAA